GGCCTGATTTAGCCACAATACATTACTCAAAAGATGCTCAAAAGTTTTACGATGATAATGGAGTGATGTTGGTTCCAAAAAAGATGAATCTCTAAACTGCCCCGAATTACGTCCTATTGAAAAATATTGGGCCATCATAAAAAAGAAATTGAAATTAAGTGGAAAAACAGTAAAATCAGCTACAGATTTGAAGAAAAAATGGGATTCCGCTGCTAAAACTTACAAAAATCACTCTGTCCAGAAACTTATGGGAGGCATCAAAAAGAAAGTCAGAATTTTCTGTAAAACTTAATTTTTTTTTTGTTTTTTTCCTATTAATATGTAATCTTTACAGTCTTAATTTTTCAGAAATATATTGATTTAAATACATTTAAGTTTTCTTACATTCTTTTTTGATCAAGAAAGGTGGGCAGATTTTTCCGACAGCATGCCCTTAATTGAATTATTTGATAAATAATTGATCTCATCAACTTATCTTTAGTTTTTATGTTTTTAGTTTTAGTTTTTGATATTATTTTTTTATATATATTATAAATATTATTTATTTGCTTAATAAATTAAAAAAAAAAAAAAACTGCAAATTTTAGTGCATTTTCTGCAATGCGTTTGGAGCAATGTAGTGTTGCGAAGTATTTGTAAAAGTGTTCGTGTTACGTAGGTAAACTTACTAATTTTCCCAACAAAAAATTTTTAAGCTTTATCTTATGTGTAACATAGCATTTTAGTTAAACACAGAGTTGTACAAATAAAGAAAGCTGAAACACCAGGGAAAATTCCTAACCACCGATGTTTGCCGAAAAAACTAAAAAAAAGTTGTTTTTTACATAAACTTAACAGTTAAAGGTTCGACTTTGCTTGATGACGAGTCGTACAGTCGTACAGCTTGATGACGAATCGTACAAAAATTTTGATAAGTAAAGAAAGGAAGGTAGATCATCTTTTATTTACTAACTAGATTACTTACATGGCAGGAATCATCGTAAGTTGCAGAAGAGAAAGAGATGAAACTTCAGGAAAATTTTGTTGCTAGTGCAGGTCTAACTAAGTTTACTATGTCTAAATATTGTTTAACTATGTCTAAACATTGTTTAACTTTAGACATTGTTTAACTATATCTAAACTTTGGTAACTGTGTCTAATAATTGTTGGATTTAATAAATATAACTTAAAGTGCATACAAAAATGGTTATTTTTAAAATATACTTAAAAAAAATATTTGTAAAATTTTAAAATTAAATAATTTTAACAATATTTCAAAAAATGTGACCCCTGCCAATTCTTCCCGTGGAGGCTTCATATGCATTATATTTAATCCTGCCGTGTATACCCGTGGAGTCTTCATCTAAATTAAGTTAAGTATTCAAAAAAAGAAATAAAATCAAATTAACATCTACTTATACGCATGCATAGAAAAAATCCTCCGTACACTTTTAAAAAAAATCGCGTTTTTTACGGATAATTTCCGGCAGCTGCGATGACCAAAACTCCGTTATTAAAAGGAAAAACCCTTCGTATGTAAACGAAAGTTTCCGAAAAATAAACAGATACATCAGTTAAAATACAATGGGTTTTTTCCGTTAAACAACGGAGGTTCGGTCATCGCAGCTGCCGAATAGTTTCCGAAAATAAAAGGAATATTGGAGTAAATATTCCGTTCATATAAACGTTTAAAAAGTTTGTTTGTTATTTTATCGAAAATACTATCTAAAGACAAATTTTCATTAATTTACATAAAAAATATTAAATTTTCCGTGATTTACATTACATTTTAACGGCAAATACACGAATAAATAATAAATTAGTAAATAAACAATTTTGAAAAAATTATTAAAAATTTTAGTAAAGTATAAATCGCACCCGTTCTAGGAAAGGGTTGTATCTCTAATACGAACCTAAAAAGTTCATATTGTCCGATATGTCTCTTTTCTATAATGGTTTTCAACACGATGGCATATACACCTTTTTTTAGATTATTAATAACTCATTAATTATAAATAATCGAAGCATAATACTTTAAGATAACATGGACAATATTCCATAGTTTTTACTGTCCAACTTTCTCATTTTTTGGAAAAAATGGACATACGTCCTTTTTCTATAACAAAATAAGCACATATTTATACTATATATTCCTATATACATTTACAATATAGATAAACTTAAAATTTTATTTTTGAGTAATTTATATTGGTTTCGCAAAAAATTAATAAGTCAACCCAACTACACGAAAAAGCAATTTTTCCTTTCTTTTCCATTTCGAGTCAACTATAAATCTAAAATAAAAACAAAAAAACAAAAAGTTTTTAAGTAAGGAAAGACTTTAATATTTAACAAAGTAATAAATTATAAAAAACACTCATTATGTGCAAAGATTACCTTAAAGTTGTTACTCAATATTGTTAGAGATTTAACTGAGGCCAAGCAACAAACAACTCTATTAAATAAAAAACTCTATTAAGCAATAAATAATTTTTTATTGCTTAATGGAGTTTTTTATTTAGATATTTTTTTCTTTAGATATTTAAATATTCGCAACAAATAATAACTTAAATTGAAATACGATGCAAATAGAGGTTTTAATGTAACCAATCTTTGTTTGTTTGTCATTGCTATGGTAATAACCGAATTTCCCGTTTATGCCATTGTTGAGGCTATACACCATTACTACTAAATTTAAAATTCGATTTTCTTATGTTGTTAAATAGATAAAAATTATTACAACTTCTTTAAAATCAAATTTCAATAATTAATTACTAAATTTACTTACAAAATAGCTCAACAATTTAACAATAAAGCACAATTTTACTTTTCTGTTCTATAATGAAAATTTAAATTATCAAATAATTATTTTTATTTAATATAAAACCATTTCAAAAATAAAATTTAAAAATTATTAATAAAGATACATACTTAGTTCTAACCTTTAGCAAGCTAAAATGAAAAAAAAAGTATAAAACATTACTATAATATAACAGAAAATTAATTTATAACTGAAATATTTTTTATCTATCTGCTCCATTATCATCACTAAGCAAAAAAACTGAAATGAATAAAATACTTTTTGTCTTTTTTTCTTGTTTAAATTTATTTTTTGTGTTCACGCTAAAGTTAAAAATTGTTAAAAACCAAAATACAATACCTATCTTAAATTCTTTTTTTTTTGGCTTTATGGAAAATATCTACTTCGATAGACTATCATAAAATACATATATATTTAAAAAGTATAAAACAGTTTAATAATTTTGAAAAATATAATTATTATTTTCTTCTTGTTCAAACTTAATGATTATAATCCTTATAACTAGCTTAATAAATATAAACAAACGTGAACACAAAAATGATATACATATTTTATAATATATATATATATATATATATATATATATATATATATATATATATATATATATATATATATATATATATATATATATATATATATATATATGTATATATATATATATATATATATATATATATATATATATATATATATATATATATATATATATGTATATATATATATATATGTATATATATATATATATATATATATATATATATATATATATATATATATATATATATATATATATATATATATATGTATATATATATATATATATATATATATATATATATATATATATATATATATATATATTTATATATATATATATATATATATATGTATGTATATGTTTATATATATATATATACACAGAGGGGATTCTATGAATAAAACGAGGGGGGGGGGACAAGGACGTAATTCAAAACCGACAATAACTTCTTCTATAAATCACCCTCTTCGGGGAGGGAGTTAGGGTAACACCCTTGTAAAATCGCCTCTATCAATCAGCTTAACTTCACAAAACTAGACCTAAATATGTTTAGAAAAATCTTCAACTGTCAGAGTTTGTCATTTTCTTTAACTGTCAGAGTTTGTCATTTTCTTCAACTGTCAGAGTTTGTCATTTTCTTCAACTGTCAGAGTTTGTCATTTTCTTCAACTGTCAGAGTTTGTCATTTTTAAATCAGTATTGTTTATTGTTAAATCATGTTAACAATACTTATTTTTGTTTTCATATAAAACAATATGAGAAAATAACTTTAAAAAAATGTATAAATAGTTTATACGATCTATACAATATATATCAAACATGCTTCATAAAAAATTGGTGTTTAACAATGTAAAGAAAATACTATTTATGGTTCATTTTATAGGATAAAATAAAGTAGAACTATACAATTTATAATTCTTTATTTCTTTAGCTTTTTTCAGCTATTATAAATCACAAATATACTAAATATTGTTACACGCTAGCTAAAAAATCTAAAATTGCTTTTTAATGTGACAAGTTTGTATGCTAAAATTTTACTTTGATTTCCATAATAAAACCTTTTTTCCATTGGAAATTTCAGTGTTTTAAAATTTCTTTTGAAATAAGGAAAATTTTCGTTCAATTTTTTAAATGAGTACTTTACGTACTAACGTAAAATAATTCTCTAAAAGTACGGAATAATAACGTAAAATAATTCTTTAAAAGTACGGAAATTTTTAACAGTGAATGTTTCATTAATAGTGTATTTGATATTTATGCATCATTCTTTTTATTACTTGTCAATAGCAATCAGAATATGCGTTTATTTGGTACAACATTTTGTGAATATGCTGAACATTTGTTCAACATATTCACACAAAGCATTCATTTGCTATATATTCACAATATATTCCTTTACATTATATATTGATAGCTTCACACAAACAGATATATTTGCAAATTTAATTGATAGTGTAGCAAATTATCAAACTTGATAATTAAGTGGTTTAAAAATTATCAAACTTGATAATTAATTGGTTTAAAAATTATGAACTTATAACGCATATATTATTTTTAATATCAGAAAAAATTAATTTTAATGTCATAAAAAAATGAAAGTTTAATGATGTTTGAGAAATAGATATTTATTCTAACAAAATTTTTACTTTTTATTTTTAGCTAATAGAATAAAAGTAAAAGAGCTTTCTCTACAAACTATGTACCCAGGAAAATCTGCAAATGCAAGAGTTGTTATTACAGCAGAAGGAGTTACTCCAGATTTAGATATGGTGATGGAAATGCCTTTTTGCAAATTTGTTCCGTGGTAAAAATTTTTTGATAACATGATGTGTGATTGTAAAGGCTCCGTGTCAAGTAATTCCAAAATAACACTGAACAGATATAAAATAACCACCGAACAACATAACTAAATACTATTAGTAAAAAAGTTGCGGAGAAAGGAAAAGTTATAAAAACGTTTTTATACGTTGTTTTTATACGTTTTTATCTCCTAAAGTTTTTTTTTTTAAATCATTATATCTCAAAACTCAAAAATGCATAAAACAAAATAAAACATCGCGATATATTCATACAACTGAGTTATTCATGTCATTTCTGTTATTCCTAACCTAGGTCTGCATTAAAGCAGTCTTAGATTAGGCCTAATCTAAGATCCTATAGGATCAAAAAAGGATATATAATTTTATCTAAAGAGAAAATGTTTAGTATAACATATATATATATATATATATATATATATATATATATATATATATATATATATATATATATATATATATATATATATATATATATATATATATATATATATATATATATATATATATAAAATGTATATAGGTTATATATTATTTTGTTTTCAGAATAATAATAAACACTTGGTGATTTTATTGGCTTTTTGAATCTACTTTCCCTTAGCTTGATAGATTTTTTCTGCACGTAGAAAAAATATTTCAGGCAGAGAATGGTTGCCAACAGAATAGTTTCCCCAAAATTTCTTCTTGATAAGGATTTCAAGTTTATTTTTTTGTAATTTTTAGCAAAGTAAGGTATTTTTTGACCTTGATTTAGAACTAGTTTTAATATTTTCTATCAGAACTAGAACTAAGGATAAAAAGTATGAAAGTAGAAAATAAAAAAACTGTTATTTTATTTTATCTTTAATTTTTATCATTAATTAAAATATTGTTATTTATCATCAAAAAATTTTTTTTCATTAATCAAAATTTTTTTTCATCAAATCAAAAATTTTTTATCATCAATTAAAATATCGTTATTTATCATCAATAAAAATATTGTTATGTTTTTGTTATAGTATTATTTCTTTTAATTTTGAATATTTATCGTAACTACAATTATAATTATTTTAAACTTTACTATAATTATTCCTATTTTATTTTTTTTCAATTTAAATAACTGTTTTATATACTTGTTAGCTGCTACATTTTATCAGTTAACAGTTTGTAACTATTTTTTATGGATATTTAGCTATTGCGTTTATAAAAGCAAGTGACTCATTATTTTGATTATTTTTGTTATTATAATTACTATTATAATTGTTATTGTTTTTTTGTTTTTTACTATTATTGTGGTTCTTATGTTTATTACTATAAATATTATTTTTATTGCTATAATTACTGTTCTTATAATTACAGTCTTGGAAAAAAGTTTAAGACCACCACGTATAAATGCTATACTTTGGTGCCTAAAATATAATTGAGCGTGTATAAGTTTTTATTTGGCAACCATAGCTAGTTAACACAATTTCCAAATTATCGCTGGTCGATTTCTGTGACTAATAGGTGTACAATTTCGCGGAAACCATTTTTATCTAGGTAAGAAGATGAAATTTTTGTGTAATATTTAATGCTATTTTAAAGTAATTTTGTATTAGAAAACTGCTTATATTTCTTAAATTATTCGTCTCTTTTGCTGAGCTATTTGTTGCCCTTAGCAACATAATGAATTAAAGCATATTTCGGTTATGCAAAAGAATTAAATTATATAAACAACTTTAAATAAATTTTTTTATATTTACAGTATTTTATTGTAAATCACGAGCTTGTGTGTGTAATGTTAAAGAGCGTAATAATAATGAAAATAGTATGTATTTTAAATTAAAATTTGTCTGTTTTTTCCTTCTTTCGTATTATTTCTGTTTAAAAATGCACCTTGTTCTTGTTTTTAAGATTGCATAAGAAATGGGGAAAGCAAAGAATTTGTCACCAACAAAACGGGCACAGATTGTCGCGTACAGCCGAGCTGGGCGAAGCGAAAAAGAGGTTACAGCATTGTTAAAGACTTCTAAAACTGCTGTAAACAGTACAATAAAACGTCTTAATGAAACGAAATTATTCACTGACAAGCAGATAAAAGGGCAGCTAAAGAAGACCACCTCAAGAGAAAATTGAAGCATTCACAGAATAGTTACGAACAATCCATTTATTAGTTCAGCGACTGTTCGGAAAACGCTTATCGATGTCAGCAATCTAAATGTTTCTTCCAGAACTATAAGAAATAGGTTGATAGAATGTGGCCTCAAGTCCTATCGTCCAGCAAAGAAGCCAAGATTGACACCAGAAATGAAAGAAAAAAGATTGAAGTTTGCTCTGAAATATCGAGATTGGACAGAGGGAAGGTCGCGGTGCGATAGAGTTTTTAGGAAAGGGAGAACGCATAAATGCTGCCAGATATTTGCGTTTCTTAAAATCAAAACTACCCAATTTTTTGACAATTTTACAATGCACTCACTTTATGCAGGACTCTGCAACATGTCATACAACTAAGATATGTAAGAAATGGTTTCAGGAGAGTTGTATTGACGTGTTAGATTGGCCCGGCAATTCACCCGACCTTAACCCGACAGAGAATTTTTGGAACATGATGAAAATTCCAGTATCAGAAAAGCAGCCTGGAAGCCTTACTGACTTAAAAGAACTTATTAAAAAAGTGTGGGTGACATAAATAACTCCTGAAGTGTGCAGGAATTATGCTACTTTAATGAAGAAACGTTTGGCATCTGTCCTTGTGAACAAGGCCGGTTCATCAAAACACTAGTGTTTTGATATTGTTTTGTACTTTTTATAGTTTTGGTGCTATAACTTTGGTGCTACTTTTGATTTTAGCTGCTGTGGACATTATTTTAATGCATTTATTTTTTATTTTTGAACCAATTTTTTTGCACTGTAAATTTTTTCAATAAATTTTTTCATTAAATTTTCAGTTTTTCGCAAGTGGTCTTAAACTTTTTTCCAAGACTGTATTACTAATTATATAATGTTATAAAATGTCAGGTCAGTTTATCTGCTAATGTCGGGTCAGGTTGTGCGGCCGTGGCGCAGTGGTTAGAGCGTTTGCTTTATAAGCAGGAGATCTAGGTTCGAAACGAGCTTTGGAAATATTTTGCGTCACGGTAAGGAAGGAGGCGTGAACTTTTTGGTTAAATGCACATCCGCGGTGCTCTGTGACAAGACCGTTAGGTCTTCTTGGGGCACCTAAAATAACAAATAAAAAAAAAAGGTTTATTCTGCTACTGGTAACACGTAACCCAGTACAATATGCTTTATTTCCTGCTGCCTTGCAGGATACGCTTTTTTAGGCAAAGGCTAGAAGAAACCAACTCCGACTTAAAACACCCCCTGCCTTGAGGCTCTTGTTTGAGTAAAGGCTAGAGATGGTGTGTCAAGTTCTTTAACAAATTTTAAAATGAATAAAGTAACAAAAACTATAAAACACAAAAACCCATTGTTATTACCAAGTTCTCAAAACCTATCATTCACTAATACTCGTGGTCTTTGAAGTAACTTTTCTTCTGTTGAGTCTTATCTCTTGCAAAGTTCACCAGACCTACTTGCTCTTTGCGAGACTAATTTGAGTTCAGCTGTCTTATCTTGTAATCTTAGTGTTGATGGTTATCTTCCTTTAATTCGTAAAGACTCCAATAGTCATATGCTCGGCCTGGGAATTTACATTCGTAAGAATTCACCCAATTGTGCGTGAAACTAGGTTTGAATCCACAGACTATTTTTTTATGTGCTTTCATTTAGCACCACTTCACTCTATCGCTTTTCTCTTTGTTCTATATCTCTCTCCTTCATCTCAAGTCTGCAATTTCTTTGATGTTATTTCTGATCAAATTGACCAAGCCTTCTCTCTTTATCCATCAGCCAATATCATTGTTGTTGGTGATTTTAATTCTCATCACACAGAATGGCTTCGCTCTAGTGTCAGTGACACTGCAGGCGTTTAAGCCCACAACTTTGGTCTTTCTCAATCCCTAACTCAAATGTTCAACTTTCAAACTCAATTTCCAGACAACCCGAATCATTTACCCGCTCTACTTGACTTATGTCTTGTTTCTGATCCTAGACAGTGCTCAGTCTCACCACATTCACCCTTAGGTACTTCTGATCATGTTTTAATCTCTCTAAAACTATTATGAATATTAATGAATATAGTTTAGACCTTAAACTATATTAACTTTTATGTTATAAATAAAGAAACTAACAATAGTATCTTATTATGTGTTTTATCTTATGTTTTTGATTATTAGCTCAATGAAACTGACATGCAGTGATTTCAGTGGCGCTGGTCTTCCGTGCCAACTTTCAAGTGGCCACGAATATAGTATAACAAAAACACTAAATGTTCCGTTTGCAGCTATTTTACTCAAGGTAAATAAATACTTTCATAAAACTTTTTATTGATTATCATTATAAAGATGTTTTACCATTTTTAAAATAAAACATTATAAAATCTAGATAAAACTACTATAAAAAAAAAACAATAACAAAATAAACACTAGATAAAACTACTGTATAAAAAAATAATAACAAAATAAACACTAGATAAAACCACTGTATAAAAAAAAAAAATAAATAAACACTAGATAAAACCACTATATAAAAAAACAATAACAAAATAAATACTAGATAAAGCTACTGTATTAAACGCTTTACATAATACTTTTATGACTGATATAAATTTTGCTACTGTTAGTTCCAACAAGCTATTCCTACATTGTTTAATTAGTAAAAAATAGCAAATTGTAATTGTAAAAAGTAAAAAGTTAGTAAAAAAAGTTAGTAAAAGCTAATAAAATCTATAGTTTAGTTAGTAAAAGTGTTAATTAATAACTTTTTTTTTTATTATTTAGGGTATTCACAATATCAAAGTTAAACTATCCAAGAACGGCCAAGAGTTCGGTTGTTTCGAGTTCTATGCTCAAATAAGATAAAATTAATAAAAAAAGACCAACAAACTATAAATATTTCGACCAAAACCCATGTAATACAGAAAAACCTTTAAAATGTTCTTTTTGAAATAAATATTATATAAATTAACAAATTTTTTCCCCCTTAAATTTAAGTTTTAAGATATCTTTTACATATCATTTCTTATAAGAAATGATATATAAAAGACAACTTATATTTTTAGTAATTCATACTTGCAACGTGCATGCTTCACTAGGTTAATGTTGGATTTGGCTATTTTTAAATTTAAATTTTTTTTGTTTAAGTTCCTTTATTTTGGCTAGTCAACAGAACCTTAACTTTTCAACAATTTCTAGCTGAAGCAGGAGTGGATCCAGAACATCTAGTAAAAATAGGGTGATTTGTGATAAGTCCTTACGGTCTTAGTTCCTACTATCTATTCCTATATAGTTTAGTTAGTAAATGTTAGTTAACAGCAGTGCTCTGTGATAAGTTTTATCATACATAAGGTCTTATTATAGTGCTCTATGATAAGTTCTCACAGTCTTATCACAGAACACCGCGGAAAAGCATTTGAAAGAAAGTTCACGCCTCCTTCCTTACCGATGTTATAAAACTTTCCCTGAGATGGCTACGGATCTCTAGAGTGGAATGAAGCAAACTTAAGTGAAGTTCGACTTGAACTTTGATGCTGACTTTGTCAACTTAAAAAAAAAACTCGAACAAATGCGTAAACGAAACATGAAAGTTTTAAGATAGAGCTTGAGAAAGTCAAACTTGAAAAACTTAAAAGGCGTTGATTTAAAGGCGCAATCGAAAAAAAAAATTTTCCAACCAATAGCGGCAGAGAATTTGAGAAGGGAAAACCTTTTTAAAGCAAATTAACTTTATATTTTAAAATAATATTTCTCAGTTTTATACTTTAAATTATTAACTTACAAAAATAAATTTAAAAATGTTACAAAAGTAATAAAATTTATTTTTTGTTTTTTTGTTAAAATTTGGCAGTTTATTATAAAACACTGGATTAAAATGAATATGCTCGTGTTACCTTCTATTTAGTCCAAGGCTCTAACTACGATGTAACAGCTTATTAATATTTAAATGGCAAATATGCTATACGGTTATCAGCAAAGCATATATGTCGAACAAGGTTTTTATTATTCAATTTTCTTATTATAATTTTTTTTTTTAATTAAAAAAGGAAAAATTTAACTCTTACAAAGCTGCAAGCAAACACTGATTACGTTTGAAGTTAACAGAAAATTAATTAAAAAATATGACAACAGTTTTCAATAGGACAAAATAGTTTTCAAAAGGATGAATATGATATTTATAGAGATAGAGAACAAAATCAGTAGAAGAAAATGGTTAATACAAGTTAGATTTCATCTAATTTACGATAGAACCTATTTTTGTTACATGGTTAACAAGTCAACAATAGAAGGGTAAGGTCAAAATCTGTATAGATTAGAGGCGGATTCAGCATTTTATGGTCTTTGCCCCTCAGTTTGAGTTGACCTGTATCATTGAAGTGACAGGAAGAGTGTGGCTGTTTGGTCAATATATGAATTTGAGAAAAAGTTTTTTGCATTTATTAAATTTAATATATAAACAATTGATTTTGGCTGAATAAACCTATTTATTTTTTTAAGTTTAGAAAAAGAGAAGAAAAGAAGACTGGTGAAGACTGGTGAAACCTAAATAAACTCTAATATCTTAACAAAAGATTTTTGCAAATATTGCCACAAAATCATTTAATTAATTTTAACATTTTATGGGGATAATGCAATTTTAAAATTTAAGTTTCAAAAAACTTAAAAATTATAAGTACATTTTTAGGATACAACTACTGATACAAAAAACTTAATTTTCTTGCTTATTACATATAGCATTTTACAATATCAATATCATTACATAACAAATGACCAAATGAATCAGAGAAGTTCATATTTGAAGTAAGATCTTCTGATATTATCAGAAAACTTGAGATACCAGAAAAGCCAAAAAGATAACAAAAGTATTATGACATTAAAATAAATATTTTATTTTGAGGCCCATGGCTATTTTAAATTAGGCCTAAAGTTTTTATTTTATTTTCAGAGTTTCTTTTAAGCACATATTTTTTTAAATATATATTTGTGCAGTCTCCATAACTGTGGGGCCCAGAGCTATAGCACTGGCAATGTAATTCTATAAGGAAATATGTAAAGGCTTCTTAAAATTTAAAAAGTTTTTTAAAATATCTACTGAGCACAATCCACATTTTTAAATCAATAACAGATTAAGATAATCATTTTAAGAATGTCATTAAAAGAAAATTTGTATTTACCACTGTTAACTATTAAAATTTAATGATTAAATTTTGGATGTTGAAATAAAGCGTCACCTAGATACAATTCTAGATTCTCTAGCATTAAATACAATTCTATTGAGATAAGAACCCGTAAAACATCAACTATCAAATGATAGCTAATAATACAAAACTATAGAGTCAGCTACTAGTAGGTACGTGACATGAAAATTTTAAATTGATTAAACACTAGAATGTTATGTATCATTAGAAAGCCCTTCAATACAGAATTTATGGATATATGGATATATGGATTTGTTGAAAAAACTATGGTCAAAATTTTGTTTTTCTTCACTTAAATTGTTATAACTTTGTCAATTCTTATCAAAATGCCTATAACTTGGTATCAAAATATAGATGTAACAGTGGGCTACAAATATATAATAGTTTCTATCAATCGGGCGCATCCAGGGGGCTAGAGGAGGTGCCAAACCACCATCTTTACCAACCAAAATTGCATATTTCGTCCATAATAGAGCGTTTTTTTTGTTAAATTAGTAATTTTTATATACAAAAACTTTAATAAAATTTTTTTTACACAACCACCAAATGTGATAAGTGTATTTTTATGTTAGGGTGGTGGTTTAACACACCCTTCCAGATAGCTTACTAACGTTGGCCCAACGTCAGATCAACGTCGAAATACTCGTTGGCCGATGGTCAGCAACTGACGTCGCCACAACGTGGATTCGGAAGTCGGCACAATGTTGCAGCCAACCGTTGGGCTAACATTGGCCCAACATCAACATCCGACGTTGGGCGAGTGTCGAATTCTAACGTTGGTCGAACGTAATATTTTTATATATAAAAATCTTTACGATTTTGATTCATTTGGTAAGCACGTGCTTACTATTTCTTATGTAATGTTCATTAAAACTATTACATTGATTTTTTTTTCTCCAAATAAGTTTGAATAATGTTTTTCCGTATTTATAGAAAATTGATTTTTCTGCTGATAAATGAAGTAACTTGAATTTCATAATAACACAGAATACCAAATTTGTTGTAATAATATATATATATATATATATATATATATATATATATATATATATATATATATATATATATATATATATATATATATATATATATATATATATTATTATCTGTGGCAATATATATATATTATTATCTGTGGCTTTTATTTATCATTTTAGCCCCAGACGCGAATAACACTCACTATGCCACAGATAATAATATTTTAAAATTTTGTTTAATAACAAAGAACTAAAAATATGATGAAGCGGAAAACAAATTTAAATAAAACTTTAAACTTATTTACATGTGTGCTACAATTAACAAATAAATGTAATAAAATGTCAATAAATAGTTTAGTTTTTACAGCTACTTGTATGTAATAATAGTGAATATATTTTCTCTTCTTTCTCTCCTGTAAATATATCTTCCCCCGCCTCTGCTGCCTTGCCTCGAATAGCCTCTAGAATCCCTACTGTTGTTTCATCTAAAAATTGGGTGATCAACCCCACCATGCTCAATCCAACTCAAAAATGATCAGTTTGAGTAGGGTCCAGGGTATTGAGAGCGATATCTTATAACATTCTTATATGTTAGTTCTATAAGTAAAAATGTATATGTATATGTATATACATACACACACACACACACACACATATATATATATATATATATATATATATATATATATATATATATATATATATATATATATATATATATATATATATATATATATATATATATATATATATATATATATGATTAATGCCAAAATAAGTTAGTGATTATTTTTTAAAGTTATAACATGCAGCCTTGCCAGTTGTAGAGATTAGATTAAAAAAAAATTAAGTTGTAGAGACTAAAGATTAAAAAAAAAACATTTAAATCTTATAAAGATTTAAATGTTTTTTTTAAAGCTTGATGCTTAGCAGTAAATGTCAGTTATATATATATATATATAAATATATATATATATATATATATATATATATATATATATATATATATATATATATATATATATATATATATATATATACATATATATATATATATATATATATATATATATATATATATATATATATATATATATTATTAATCAGTAGTAGAAGAACAGTTGCTCGATTCCGTTGATGTTTGATAGTTTACTCCAAGACAGAGAGGCTCCGATAAGCACGCTATTTATATACATATTCCTAAGGATGACATTAATTTTTTAGTATAAGCAGCCAATCCAAATGACTTACGTTTACGATAACTTGATTAGCGCAACAGTTATATTTTCTACGTTGATTCAACGTTTTATTTTAAACGTTGGCCCAACGTTTTATTTTAAACGTTGACCCAACGTTGTATTTTAAACGTTGACCCAACGTTGTATTTACATTGATTTAACGTTGAACTTTAATTGTATTCAATTTTATTCGGAATTAAATTTTATTTTCTTTATTTATAATATATATATATATATATATATATATATATATATATATATATATATATATATATATATATATATATATATATATATTATATATATGTATATATATACATATATACATATATATATATATATATATATATATATATTTATACTCTTGCATGTCTCTTGCGTGGCATCAAAAAAAGTTTCCCATAAACTGTAGTTTTAAAGAGCGCGTTAATAAACCAGACCAGAAAAAGTTTTAAAAATTTAAAAATTAAATTTTTTTTTTTAATTGATAGACTGCCTGGCCAAACCAGACCCTCAGTCGATGTAGCAGCACTCTCTTGCGAGTCAGGCTATTTGTCA